TAAGCAAACTTGAAGGAAAATAAGTGTTTTTACCCTAAATTTTACCTAGATGTTGAAATAAGGCAAACCATTGTGAGTTGTTCATGGTTTAATTGATTTTCACAAGCTTGGATCAAACCGTTTATCTAATTAAATCAGGTTTAGGTCAAAAAATTAGTTTTTATTTAGAGATGCTTAGCTTGATTATACTTAGTTTGACATGCCAATATATATAATTAACTATATGTAAAGTAAATATTTTAAAAATAATTTATTTCATATATATAAAAAAATGTATTTATAGTTTAAATAGGTGTAACTTAATAGGTTAACAAGTCCCTCAATTCTACAAATAAATCAAGTTAAAGATTAATTTGTTGACTTGCCATAAATCATGAACCAAGCAAAATTAGTAATTTTTATACCAAGTCTGGTTTGGCCTGACTGGTTTTCACCGGTAATTTTATTTACAAAACAACCTCTTCCTATAAAGATTAAATGAACATTTTTAACCCTTGAAGAGTAGGAAAATAACAACCATTCATATTAAATTAACAAAGTTTATAATAAAAATATTTTCCAATACCCATTAATTCAAATCATAAATTACACAAAATTTCTAAAGAATTTCATATACAATAATTTTTTATATATAATCCCTGAAAGTAAAGGAGGGTAAGCCATCTTACTTTTACTGGAAGATCTCCTCTTCCAAAAGTTAATCCTTTAAATTAGCCGTTTCTGTGAGAAGTCACTGTCACAGATAATGTATTCAAGTATAACTTGAAAACCTAATGCTTTGAATGCCCTGTCTGTGTGTAAGATGTTTGGCTCTGGTTGGATGTGTCTCATTCAAGCCGGCGTCCAGAAAAGCTGAGAGGAAATTTGTCACGTCTTTTGTTTTACTTAAATAGAGGTCAGCACTCATGAGATATTTGTCAAAAGCACTTTTGGCCTGAGATACAAATGGGGCGGTGGGTGAGAGCCCTTCCTCGCTTTTTCTGGCCTGTGGCTTAAGTGGCAACATCAAACGAGGTGGATGAATTGAACCCCCCTTTTTAAAAAATTTTTATTATTAATTCCCACCAAGCCGGTTAAAGCTTGTTTGGCATGTCTCTTGATTTAATTCCATTTTATTGCAGTTTTGTTCTTTTTAAATTCAAATGTGAGGTATAACTTTAGAACTTTTGAAAGCTTTTACTTATTTATAATAGAAAAAGCAGCTTATTGAAAAGCCAAACACTTATTTTTCTTATTCATATATATGGTTTTGGACGGAATGATTGTTGGCACGTTAAAAAATATGAATTATAGAGGATAAAATTATTGCAGAGTCCGAAAAAGTTGTGATCTACGGGTTGATGAGAAGCGAGGAGAAAGGGAAAAAAACAAAACCATAGAAGTCAACTCCCCCGTGATGAAGCCTAACTTTGTGCAGTTTAAATAATTTATTTTCAACAAGTGCACATAATTAGGTCAACAAATTGTTAGAAAATAATTTATTTTTAAAAAATAAACATATTTTCTTTTTCCTGAATTTAGTATATTGTAATGCATGACGTATTACATAAAATTCATGCTCTTTACATAATATAATATATATATATATATATATCACATTATTTACACGTGATGAATATTAACGTTGATAAATATTAATTTTATAAATTAGTAAATTATAAAATATTAAAAAGGGTACCTTTTTATACGTCTCAAAAGTCATTATAAGTCCTTCTGAGCAGCTTCCGTCACAAGATTCCTAGAACGAACATTTCTAACTTTTTCTTTTTTCAAAAAAAAAAAAAAGAAATTAGTGGTCTTTTTCTTCTCTTCCTTTCTTATGCTCGCACCGCCCAATGGCTCCGATTGGTGGCTTTGTCAATAGTACGGTAGGACCGGCCTAACTTACGGCAACTTCAAAGCCCTTTATAACCCATTGGAAGAACAGGCCAATAGCATCGACGCCAACTGCACATGGCGTTGTTGCTTGTAATTTTTTTAAATTTTATTTTATGTTTACACGGCGTGTTAATATTTGATCTAGAAATTAATTAAAAATGCGTTCACACGGAGCAACCATTCCTAACTTTTTCAGTTTTATTTTATTTTTATTGACCACTATTAATTAATAGTTAAACTTTGTTAAAATCACTCTATTTTTTTGTCCTCTTTGTATTTACTGAAAAAAAATTATTCCCAATATGTCACCAAATAATTATCAATTTACTAGAGTTGCATGTGACGTGGAAGCGGTGCCCATGAAATATATTTTTTTTTGGGCTAATTAATTAGCCTTTGAATATATGCACAGAGACGGGAGTAATTTTTATCCATGGAGAAATAATAGAACTTATTAAATAAATACCCCTACTTAAAGTCCGAACGTTTCTTAGTTTTCTGAAATTATTTTTCTTGTTATTTCATTTTTTTTTCTTTTTCCTTTCTGTGATTAATGTCCAAGTAATTTGAAGTGGAAGAAGTGATGGATTAGAAAAATGGTCTTTATTTAATATTAAGGACTAATTTAATGAATTATTTAATTATAATATTTATTAAATTAGTATTAAATGTTAATATTAATTCAACAAGGTTAGAATTATTGACGCTCAAGTATTTTATATCAAATAAATCTTAGAGTAAAGTAAGGAGAAAAAATATTTATCTCATAAATAAATGTAAAAATATAATTTTATGTTGAGTAAAAATTCTATAATTTTTACAATAAATTCTGAAATTTGTCTTTTTCCCACTATCAGATCTTTATTTCACTCTCAATTTTTAGTCTCACTCTTTGTATTTTTTTTTCTAAACATAAATTAATTATGTAAAGACAGTACAAAACATACCTAAGTATAGATGTTAAAAAAATTTTTAGCTCTATGCACATGGACTCAAATGTCTTTTGAGACAACATACATATATATCATATATATATATATATAAATATTTCTAAAAAAATTAGGCCCGTGCATAAATCATTTAAATTTTAAAATTGATTTCGTTTTTATATCATATTTTTAGTGTTAAATGAACATTACAATTTTTTATAAATGTTAAAAAATTTTAAAATTTTCTTTAATTATTTTATAATCTTCACTTAAAAGATAAACTTATGAATCCCACTTCCCCATTGTAAAGCTTCCCTTAAATCTGTTTTCCTTTAATTTCCTTTACTTTTATTTGTTGAAAATCTGCCCTTAAATTATGCCAAGGACTTTAAATGATGCATGGCAACGTCCAATCTACCCCTTTACTTTCCGGTTATATGTGGGGTGTCTCTTATTGGAAAATTCTCACTTTTTTTATAATAATATAATATTTATATTATATCACCATCTTAAATTTAATTTAACTTAGTCTTCAAATTAACCTGAAATTTATTCATGAAAATACATAATTGAATTATGATGGTGGACCTATGATAGGTTACTGTCTACTTAGTCAAAAATCACAGCATTTATTAAATTAGTATTAAGATTAAAATTTAACATTGGTATAATAATTATTAAAATTATTAGTCCATTAAATCAAATCAAGACATAAGATTAAATATATGACTGATTAGGGTAAATAGCATTAGTGGTCGCAGTAAGAGATACTCTTTATATTCAAATTTTATTATTATTATTATTATTATTAGCAGCAGCAGCATAAAATTGTTACACGTAAAAAGATGTTTGTCTCCGCAAGGCTTTGGAGATTTTGGATTTTAAATTTGTGTAAATATAATAATAAAAAATATTTCTAATCTTCAAAATAAGAATGGACGTTTCAACGGCATCGTGATGACACAGCTTTGATTAGTGACAGCCATCGGAGAACCAGTGATGAACACACTTGTCGGATTTTCCGAGAAGATCCTAGCTTCGATTTCTAGGCGTTGGGACTGTTTGGCTATAAAAAGTTTCTCAACTTTTTAATGGTGTTGTTTTCCTATTCTATAGAGTCATTAGAATTATTTTTTTTTTCTCCATTTAATGGTTAAAGGGTATATTCACCAGACTTAGTTTTTAAGTTTTTCGAAAATTGATATTCTATTTAGCACATAATTCTATAAATTTTTTAGAATTTTGAATTTATTTTTCATTTTTTAAATAAATTATTGTAATTATTTGTAAACAAAATTAAACATATGAGAGGAACCTTGGTTGACATAGTGGAAGGAAATAAATAAAAAATACAAATATTTTAAAAACATAATTTTTAAATTTTATTCAGAAAACCATTATTTTTTTTTTATAAATCGAATATAAAAAAGTATAAACCCCAAGTCCAAAATCCAAAATACCTTGGCATCAAATATCCCAAATGTTCACCGCAACTCTCGCGTCAAATTCGAATTATCGTGAGATGAACTCCACCTGCAACTTGGTGGACCCCACAACTTTACAACCTGTCTCCATCACTGACATGATTCCAGCTATGGTGGGCTCAGCTACATTTGGATTCTAGTTGACGGTTTTGCCACCGGACGCTTCCGTGATTTACCCGGCGTGCCCCCTGTCACGCTCTGACACGATTAAATATCAGTCTTCCTTAAGATTTTCTGATCGGGAAATCGAGAAAGAAAAATTCAATCGGCTAAGCACCTTCCGATTCATGAATCCGAAAGCTCTGTTTCTCACGCATACGAAATCACAAACACAGGCATCGAATTTTCATTTCCATCGTTTTATGAACAACCAAACCGGGGCGCACACAGAGAAAATTAAAAAATCCTGAGACAAGAAAAAGGGAAAAACCATCGGGTACAACTCTCTTTGAAACAAAACACCAGAAAAGAGACAACTATAGATATAGATTGAACAAGCAGAGAAGTTTTTCATCCTTATCTTCACCATCATAATTATCTTCACATGACTCAACAAATCTCTCTCCCCTTTTCTATCTTCTACCTCCCAGGGCAGAAAGCTCGCGTGTGGGAGGGAACAATAAGAGATCGAGCCTCTCAGATCTGTGAATTTCAATTTTAATTTTCTTTTCACTCGAATTTCATTTCTTATGCATGTATACGTCCGTTTTCAGACCCTAACAATCTTTGCCGCCTTGACCACGGGGTTTTCCCTCGCGATAGCCTCGCGGCCGGCAGCTTTGTAGTCGTAGCTGCAGTCGTGGCGATCGGAGTACCGGTGCTCCGCGCAGAATAGCTCGCCACATCGGCACCTGAATCCGGTGAGGCCCACCTTCCTCCGGCAGCCGGAACATCGGTTCACCTCCCTCTTGGCTGTCGGCACAGGCGATCTGTCGGAAACGGTGGCCGCCTGGTCCTGCGGCGTCGGGTTTCTGGCGGTCTCTGCTGGATATGACCTCTCCGGCGAACGCGATGAAGTAGATCTAGGGCTCTTATCGCCGCCTCCAGCTGAGAAATTGAGAGGAGTCGTGATCCCGGCAGCGGAGGACGATGAGGTGGTGGCAGTAGTGGCGTTGAAGCACTTCTGGCACATGTTGTTGGTGGCGGGGTTGCCGGTAACGCCGCAGTTGTTAACGCAGAGAGTTATGGTTTCCGGGACGACCTTGAATTCCGTCTCTTCTTTCTCTGTCCTCTGAGCCATAGTTATCGGGAAAAAAATCGACGTACGACTCTAGAGAGAGAATTTCAGATTCGAGAGATTAGAGAGAGGGTGGGGATTTTGGTTCCGGTCGGGATTGTTGTGAAAGAGAATTGAAAGTTGGGCACGGAGGGGGTATCAGTTTAATGGGATATAGAGAGAGAGGGGTCGGTAATGACGATGGGATATGGACCTCATAGAGACGCGTATCATACAATTTGCTTTTCCACGTTTACTAAATTACCCTCGTGACTTTCCCACATTAACTATTTCTCTTGCTTTTTCTTGGTGGTGCCGCGTCAGTATATTAATTATCTTTTCTTTAACTCCGTAAACCTCCCAAAATTACAGTTCAACTTCATGGTAAAAAGGGCGGGAAATCGAACCGAGACAATAAATGTTTTAATAATTCCTTTACAATTCCAATATTTATGTATTATTTATTTGTGACTTTTCCTCTTATAGAATTTTACAAAAAAATTTAAAAATTATTCCTCAAATTTTAACACATAAATAAAATCATTACTAAATTTTAAAATTTTAAAGATAATTTTACAATACAAATAAAATTTGACAGATAATTTTAAATTTACGGTAGTTATTATATTTTTCATCTAAAAAGTTTTAGATAAAAAACAGCTTATAGATAATTATATAATAACATAAAAATTAAAATTATTTTTTTGAAATACAAACAAATCAAATTATGCAAAGACATGACTTCATTTTAGCGGGACTTGTTTGGTAAAAATCTATATTTATTATTGTTGGTTTATATCCTGAGAAACGAGATATGTACATGTTAGGAAATTCTATTGAAGTTTTTTCAAAAAATATATTTAATTATTTTTTGTTTAATTGAGATTTTGTTTTCTAACACGTGAGTATTAATATAATAATTTTCTCACCTTTGCTTAAAATAAAATAAATTTGCCCATTCTGAATTAAAAAATGGCAAAAATTCAATTATTTAAAATATAAAACAAGCCGCGAGTTATTAAATGCACAGCTTGAATTGTCATCTTTACAGCTCGATTCTCAAAAGCTTTGAATGATTTTGGAAGGTTGTGGACGAAGTTTTCAGGTGGAGGGTTCCTTAAGAAGGATCAATAATACAATAATATTACAATGCACGGGGCAGAAATGGAAATTCGGTATGCTCGTTCTACCCCACTAGAGGAAGATGATAGGGGCATTTTGTCACGTCCAGCTTTGGGCCGCCCAATCTGACCGCCCCCCACCACACATCGCTGTCCCCCGTCCCCGCCTTGCCGTACACGTGTGCCCTCACACGCGTCCACAATTCTCTAATCCGCTTCGCCCACCTTTCTCCTCCTCGTTGGCCAAGTTTGGGTCCAACTGGCACGTCAGCTGTTTGGTGCTCGGTCGTCTCTTCTCGCTGGTCTCCGCGTCCACCACCGCCGCCGTATTCATCTTTTTTTTGCCCTTTTTGATATATAAAATATGATAATTTAATACAGATAATTTCATTTATTAATATTGAAATATAATTATCGTCAAACCAAAATTTTATTATAAGATTTAAATTTTAAATTTAATATTCCAATAGAAAGTTTATAAAAAAGTTTAAAACATATAAAACGACAGATATCTATGAAATCAAAAAGAAAAATAAAAATAAGAAGAAAGAAAACCTTTCACGAATTCTGACGGCCACCACTCTGGGCGGGTCCCACCTCGCCGACCAGGTCTTCGTCCGAAAGTCAAAAAGTTGCGCTCGCATCGACGGTAATGAAGTTGCTCGTGTGCCTTCGTGGCGCGACAAGATTGTAGTTATTGGTTTCTCTGGTCGTGAAGGGATATTATGTGATTGCTGCTCTCCGTGGGTCCGGTTACGTCGGGTTGGGCGTGAGCCTGTCCGGGCCCACCCGTCAAATTCGGTATCTGGATGGGGTCTACTCGGCAATTGGGCGGCCGTTTTCTTTCCCTGTTGTTTCTTTAAATTATCTAAAATTGTTGACAACTTCTTATGCCGGAACCTTGGCAATGTGAATTATATAAATGGTTTCCCGAGTATCGCCCATGGTCTTATTTGGGTCCCTCTAATACTAAATGTAGCATTTTACACCAACTTTGCTTGAAGTGTCCCCTAAAGATAATAGTTGATTGATGTTTAAATTGTAAAAAAATGTGGTGAGTAAAAAAATAAAAATATGTTGGAGATGTTTTTTTTTCTAAGACTGAATTCTTAAATTAACGGAGTTGGAGATTTCTTTTTTCTATAATCGTGTAGACTGGATATTTACAATTAAAAAAAAATTGATAAAATTTTCTAATATTTGTAGACGGAGGAGAAATTACTCAGTGGTGTGTGCTCAAAGCGCACATTTCAGAAAATGGTGGGCTAAGACGAGAGAAATTAGGGGGCTAAAAGCCCACATTTCAGGTAGTGGTGGGCTTAGCCCACTCCATAAATTTTCCATCGTCGGAAGTTTGATTTGCTTATGTCGAAAAGAAGAGTATAAAAGCCTTACTTTCAGAAAGCACTGACAATGCTGTCAACGTCGGTCTAGAGTGTGATTCCTATTGACTTTATGATGCTGGATCTTTTGACAAAAGTTATTATTAGTGATTTTGAGATGGTTCAGAAAATTTCATTTGAGAGTATGATCCAGAGCTTGGGAAGACTCATTTGGTTGTCTGGAATGTCTTATGTAGGCCTAAAGAGCAGGGGGGGTTGTGTCTTTCGGTTATTAATGATGCTTGTATCATAAAACCCAGTTAAGATATTAAACTTAGAAGGGAAGCCTCTTGGGTTGCAGCCTCGAAAGGAAAAAGTATTTCTTTTAAGGCGACAAACTTTAAGACTTGAAGGATATAGTCCAAGATTGAAGGTTGATATCTAGATATGAAGTTTGGAAGTTAGGTGATGGAGATTAGTAAATTTCTAACTGGATTACTAGATTGACTGAGAGAGCAGACTAATTGACTTCATGATTGGAGAAAGGAAGATGTTGAGAGGTGCAAGGTGGCAAACATGGTAAATTCATCAGGAGATTGGAATAGGAGTAGAGTCAGAGTAATATTGGATCTATTATGTTCACTAGATTTATCCCTTCCCCTCATCCCCTAATGAGTGACTGTGTCCCTGATTCAAGGGAAGAGAATGGCTAGTTTAGTGTTCGCAAGAGGATAATTCTATGGTGTGGAGCTCATTGTGGAAGCTCCAGTTATTGGAGAGCATGAGATTTTTTGCCAGTTTGACCTTCTAATAAAAAGTTGCTCACAAATGAGAGGAAGTCTAGATAGAGCGAATGTGACAAGGCTGTAGCTAGCGCAGGGCATCGTTTGATACAGTCATATATGCCTCTTAGGAATTGCCCAATGGTCGAGATGATCTAGTTGAAGCTGGTTCCCTTGTAGGTTGGATATTATTTTTCTTGATGAAGCATCATGAATAGTCTCACCAACATCTCTAAAGGGTTAGGAAGGTTTTCAGACTATAATTGGTCGGAAGTTCGGACCATAGCTGGCTAGATCACTTGGATACAAGAGAATAAGAATATCTTTGAGGAAAGCTTTGTTGTATAGTCTGTAAATTAGAGATGTGATTAGAGGATGTATTTGTCTCACATTGAAAATTTAGAGAAAAGTATTGTTATATATATAAAAGCTCAAGTCTAATTTAATAAAAATGATAAGTTCATAGGTCTGGAAAGTTTTGAATAAAACAAAGCCTAATATATATATATATATATATAATAAATAAAAAGGATTTAGACTTGACCTTAGGAGCTTAGCTATAATATAAAGAGAGTTATTTCTTTTTATTTATTTTTTCTAAAATTTTTCTCTAATTAAATTTAAATTACTACGGATTAATAGTTATTTTTCAAATGACACACATTCATGACATTTCCAAAATCACACTCATTCAATCTAACAGATATTTGTCCATATATATATATAATATATATTAGAGATCATTTTTAAAAATAATAATTAAAAACTTGTTGTATCTCAAAAATACTTTTTGATTCATCCCCAAATCCAAGCAAATATTACTAGAAAAAAAGTGTTTCACAGTTCAAGTTTAATCACTTCTTCTTTTTTTTTTTTTTTTCCACGGGCTTTTGGAGACCGGTTGATTATTGACCAGTGATACTTGTTCGTAGGAATCCCCCCAAATTGGGAATGTCTAGAGCTTGTTTTAAAGACCAAGCCACTTGGACCCTCCAAGCCTAGGGTGGGTTAAGCCTAGCACTGACGGAGCAGTAAAATGAGGAATAGCATGGTTGAGTGTAGACGTCTCCTTAGAAATCATGATGTTAATTGGATCAGGGGTTTATCATATTTATGGATGATGCAGATGCTACTTTAACTGAAGCCTGATAGCCTAGAAAAGATTAAGGCTGGCGTAGATCTTAGGTTTCAGGAAGATTAAATTAAAAATGAATCCCAAGACTTTTATTGACATAATTGAAGATAAGCGTAGAAGAGATTACATCTGCATTTCCATTGTGATTAGAATCAAGTCCTCTTTTGTGGTAGAATTACGAGGAGATTAAGATCAAGTGAGTTTCTAAAGAAGTCAATACCACGTTAATTAGTGGGCCAAGTTAAACTTTTGGCTAGAGAGTTAGAACTTAAAATTGAATTTTCTCTAATTATTTGAGGGATTTTGTCTTAATATATTAGAATACATACTTTCAGAAATATATACAGCTTAAGTGTTCTCCCCCCCCCCGGGTTAAATCGTTTCTCTCCCCGTAATTTCTCGAGAGATTTTCCGACACATTGATGTGGAAATCTCTCCGCCTTCATTGATTCCGGAACAATGTCACCATGCGTTGCTCTGTAGGCTGCGCTAGAGTGCTTCAGCAATCGCATGCAGGGAGTGATCGGGCTTTCGGATTCGTTTTCAAAGGCATAATAATTAAAGATACGCGGTGCGGACTGAGTTGCTGATACCAGATCGCTGTCAATTTCTATTTACAATTATTTTGATATTTTATTTAAAAAATAATACCAAAATATATTTA